TCTCTCTCTCTCTCTCTCTCTCTCTCTCCCTTTGCCCAACTGGAAATAATACACGTCTACAGTAAAACAAATCTTAATGATATGTCGGAGTCAAAAACACAACACATTTTTTATCCCCTCGTGCATATTGAATTGTGGACAAAGAAAATAAGAGAAACAGGACTAAATGATTGTGTTGTCCTATTGCGTTAGACTTCTCTTATTTTCAATGTCCACAACTCTCAGACAAAACAGCAGCAAAGCTTTGAGGGTAAGAGAACATTAATCTAAATTTATGGTTTCCCTTCCATAACTTTTAATAACCTCGTCTCTGTTTTCAATAATAGTAGTTGATTATTCTTATGTCTTCACGCATCATTATAACTAAGATAAGTGTAAGAACAAAGAGGCGGTGCTTTGGGCTAACTTAACGTTTATCCTAACGCTCTTTACCAACAGGCGTATGGTCTGAGGGGGACGTTCATAATCTTTGGAGCTCTCCAACTGCACACAGTCGCCGCTGCCCTTCTCATGCGTCCCCTGAGTCAGTACAGCGCCGTAGTCAACCCAGCTTCAGTCGAAAAAAGAAAAGAAAGTTCAGTGCCCTTGGCAGACGCGACGAACACAGTGGAGGAAGTGCACGACACTATGGACCCTGACACTGAACAGAGTAACGCCACAGCGACCTCACGTCTTGCTGCTACACCCCCTGAGAACGTCAGAACATTCAGACAATCGTCTGTTCTTCAGAACAAGGAGAAGGAGGAGGAGAGTGAGGAGGAGAAAAATGAAGAGGATGGAAGAGGCGGGGTGAATGGAGGTATAAAGGAATCCCTTTTGTTGCCGTCATCACAGGGCCATGAAGAGATCGTCACTTCCAAAGACACCTTGCGTGTCGATTCCAAAGGACAGGATTTCCCCCAAGGACGAAATCCCATTGATAAAACTCGCCTGCACATGAGTCGACGCAGCCCCTGCCAAGTCCAGAAGATGCATTTATCAAAAGAAAGATTGGACATTGCTAACCGTGATGTATGTCAGCAAATCTCTGAAAGTCCCTATGAAGACAGCGAGCTCATGGCCGAGAAAGCTGGTTCGTTGGAAGGTGCAGTGGATGTCTTCGGCTCAGACTGTTCTGATTTGAGCTGTAGGTCTCAGGTGAAGGGAAGCCTCCTTGTATCGCTAGAGGGTCCGAGACTTCGGTCTGCTAGTGCTAACGAAGAGTTGTCAATTCAACGATGTTTGCGCTCTGCTGCTTTGGTTTCTCCATCAGGGACAAGACCTGCGAGACCTCCTTTTGTCAGACAACTTTCAGTTGACTCCTCGGTCAAACCCAATGCTAAACATCAGTTAGCCTCCTTGAATTTCCAGGCGAATGGAAGCAAGGGACACAATGAGTTACGTATTCCTGAGCACGGTGTTAGCATACACATAAATCACGAAACTAGCCTTTTGGAAAATGGCAGGAATCGTTCTAGTGCTGGTAGCAGACCCGATATGGCAGAAATCCAATCCTCTCGGGAAATAATCCCCGTTCAGCGAGTAAGCCTACCGGTGTTTAAGTCAAGCAGTTGGAGCATAGTCAGCGCTCCTTTAGGTGACCTGGCAGTGGACGTAGAAGTTTGTGCAATGGAGTCTCAAAGTCGGATACAAATGACGGGGAATTCGGCAGCTGTTGGTTCAGTGACAGTAGACGAAATATTAAGCCCTCACTATCCAAAGCCAACGCTTTGGCAAAGGACGAAGGGGATTTTTCAGGAAACCTTTAACCTGAAATTGTTGAAAAGCTGGGCGCTACGGACGTTACTGCTGTCGTCCGTGACGGGTATCTTGATACAGTATGTCGTCACCTATCTCCCCACCATCGCAGCCAAGCAGGGCAAGATAGGGGCGGAGCCAGTGTCGCTCCTCCTCACGGTGGGTGGGGCTGTAGATCTGGGTAGTCGGATTGCTATTGGTGCTTTCACGGACACACATTTGCTGAAACCTACTCAAATTGTGGCGATAACCCAGCTGATCATGGGTAAGGAGGATCTATATAACGTGGTGTATTGTATTAAAAGTAAGAAAGAAAAAGAGAGAGAGAGAGAGAGAGAGAGAGAGAGAGAAGGAGAGAGAGAGACAGAGAGACAGAGAGAGAGAGACAGAGAGAGAAAAATATAATTATCAAAAAGGTATTTGAATAAGAAATAAATAGTGTTGAATATAAGCACAGGAATGAGCTCTGTTTAGCCAACGTGTTCTTTTTATCGTTCCTAATAAAAAGCACCATTTAGTGTACGGACCTCATGCACACTATTATTCTACAGCAAAAATAGAAATATCACCATCAATAACAACATCTACAATAACAACAACATCTACAATATCAACAACAACAGCAACACAAACAACAAAAACAACGATGTAAACAAAAAAGTAAAAAGTAAAGACAATAGCACCAAGTGTAACTGAACCATATTATTTCATTCGGGGAGGAAAAAAAGGGGGGGGGGAGGGGAGAGGTGAACGGGAATTGAAAGATGATTTAAAGCAGAATACTAACACGCTGACAATGAAACACCAGTAATGAAATGATACCTCTCTCTTTTATAATAGAGATAATATAGTATCATTATTTACTTACTTGTAAGGGGCCTTGTTGTTGTTATCAATGCGGATAAGGGACCGTTGTTTGTTTGTTTGTTTGTTTTATTTGTTCTGTTTGTTTGTTTTGTTGTGGGTTATATTTGTTTTGTTTTGTTTGGTTTGGGTTGGTTGTTGTTGTTGTTGTTTTGTTGTTTTGGTTGTTTGTTTGTTTTTTTTTGTCTTTCTTTTTGTTTCATTTTTTTAGGAAGAGTGGGAGTGGGGTTGTTTTTTTTTTTTGGGGGGGGGGT